TTCTTTGGGCTCCTGACTTTTCTGCTGTCTGTCTACTGCTACTCCTTGGCTCCTTCTCACTGCTGCCTTTTAGCCACACCCCTGATCTTAGGGTAGGTAATGCCTATCACCTAGCCTTTTCAGATAAAGACCAAAAAAATATCCTGTGTAAAAGTTGCGCACTTTAAGATCCCTGGGTGGTCTTAAAATCGATAAGAGTAGGCTTCGGCCGCCACCAAGTCAAAATTCAAAGTGAATCCCTACCAAACTGAAAATGCTTAATGTGTCCATTTCACAGTTGTCCTTATACAATTGCGAGCGCCGTAAAACATCAAAATTTTAAAAACATAAACACACATACACACATACACACAAACAAACAAACACACACACACATACACACTCGCACTCACAAACATACACACACACAAACACACACACACACACACACATGCACACTCTCTCACTCACTCTCTGCAAAGCCATCTCCAGATGAAAAAATGAAAAACATATAACAAAGCCAAAAGAACAGCAAAAAACCAAAAATATACGAAAAGCAGACAGAAACAGATGCAGTAGCACCAACATTAACGAGAGTAAAAACTAAAATTGGTAATTTAAAAAAAGACATGGAGCTACTACTCGGGTAACAGTGGTTTAATCAATAGACAAAAGATTGTTGTTGTTGCAGTTTGGTGTCGAGGGTCGGTGTTATTTATTTTAATTTGTGTGTATTATTATAATTTCCATGCTGTTTTGGTTGGGTTTTTCATCCTTTATTTGTGTTTGGGGTTTTATTTTGGTTTTTAGGGTCGTTCGAGTTGGGTTTTTTAATTGATTGTTTCTTTTATTTTAGGGGGGGGGGCGTTTTTGTTAGCTTTGTTCTGGTTGTAGTGTTGCGTGCTTCAGTTTGTTCATTTTAAAAAATTGTTTGGGGTGTTTTTTCTGGCTTGTTTTTGGAAACTGTGAGTGAAAGAGGAATGGGTTAATGAGATAATAATATCATCGGCCAAGAAACCTACATGTGTGAACAGGTCAAAATAGCCTTTACTGGTGAGACATAGCTTTTCCCCTCCTCGGAATCAAATTCACATCTCTTGGAAGCAAAGCAACGAGTTCATTAATTAAGCATTTGACCACAGACGCCGTACTCCATCTTCTGGCCTAATGATAATCGTTTTATTATATGACATGTGATTTCTTACTCTGTCACAATGACAGAAGTACCTTTTCACCACAGTTCCGCAGTAAAACAGTTGACATACCAAGTTGACTGAGTGTTTGTTTGTTTTTATGTTTTCGTGTAGCATTTTAATTTCTTGGTTTCTTTTGTTCTTGCTGTTTTGAAAAGGGGACGAAGTTTGGTTGTTGTTGTTGTTGTTTTTGGGGGAATATAGTTGTTGGGGGGG